AGTTCAAGGCCATCCTAAACTACGTAGTAAGACTCTGGCTCAAAAAAAGAAAACAGAGAGAGAAAGAAAGAGAAAGGAGAGTGCTGCTAAAATCACTTAAGTTCTCCCTGCAGATGCCATCCTGAGTCCAAGGGAAAACTCAGTCTTCCCCAAGACACGTCAGGTTCCACAAAGGCCAACAGAAGCATAACTACGAGAGTGCTCCCAAGTGGATTCCTTTTGCATTTTAATTAGAAGAATTTTAATCAAATTTTATTTTAGTTTTTGTCTTTTTGGGACAGGGTTTCTCTATGCAGTTCAGGCTGGTCTTGAACTCACTTCAATCCCAGGCTGGCCTCCAATTCACAGTGATGCTCCTGCCTCACACTCCTGAGTGCTGGGATTATAGGTGTGCGCTACCACACCTGACCTAGTTAATTTTTTTTTCTTTTTTAATTTTATTTAAGGAGAAAAGAAAAAAAAACAATGAAAGGGTACAAGTTATACAGATTTACAGAAAAAAAAATGAACAGTAGGAAATCACTAGTTAATGGATTACATATTGCCATCTTAGAAATAATTGTTCAAGTCACAAAATTAAAGCTTGTAGAGTGGACATTCCAACAATGATACTGCAAACAGTTCTGTTCAATGATCCAATAAAACTCTGTGATATCATTTTCTATCTTATACACTTAAATATACATGCAGTTATATAGTTTAGAGCACTTTCTTTTCCTCTCTTTTGTACAATGACTATTACACGTTTTGGGTTTCATTGCTCCCACGGTTCTTATTGCTTTTTTGGAAGAGAGTAAAACCAAATGTGACATAACAGAACAGAATCGGTCAAGTCAAAAGGGTGGACATAATAGATAATGTAAAAACATAATACAAGGTGATCAACAATGGTTACCATAATGCCTCCCGCTATCTCTAATAGAATTGCCTATATCATTAGTTATAATACAATTGAACAAGACAGTAAAGAACAAAACCGACAAAACCAAAACATTGGAGACATTGTAGGTCTTCAAAAGTAGATAAAAGTCAACGAGGGGGCGTTATAATGAATCTCATTATCTTCACAGCTGATGCCTAAACTTTCGAACCTGATACTATCCAGCAAAACAGAATCTTTTTTTTTTTTTTTTGAGACAGCGTCTCGCTATGCAGTTTGGGCTGACCTTAAGTCACTGTGTAGCCCAGGCTAGTCTGGAACTCTTAATGATTCTCCTGCCTCAGCCGCTGAATGCTGGTATTTCAGGTGTGTGCCACCATTCCCTGCTTCCCAGTTACAGTTTTAAAGAGCAGGCAGGCTTGTGTAGCAAGATTACTGCCAGGTGTTGAGTTTTGGGTTTTGTTGGGAAGTGGCAGCTGTTATCAAATAGAGAAACACTAGGGGCTGACAATGAGCAGTAAGATGAAAGTAAACAAATTTATATTTAAAAAAAAATTTAAATGCAAACTTGGAAGGGTACATTATCCTAGAGAAACACGTTTCCAGCTCAGGGAGGCGAGAGAGGGCCTGGATTGAGACTCTGGTCTGGCGCTTTCTGAAGCAGTGCTCTCCGTCTCAGTCCTCCAGAAGTTTCTCTTCTGAAAACAGAGGCTGAAACTAACAGGTCTCCGCTCCCCTCTGGATCTGAGTCTTGTGCTCTCCAGTGGCAACCTGAACCAGGGGCTGGGGGCCCAGACGTTCCCCGTCACGTTGGCTTTGGCCTGCAAAGGGTCTTGGGGTGTTTGTTTTGGCTGAACTGAATGCCTTGGAATAGGTCTTCGTTCGCGCTGTCCCTCTGCCCCTCACAGCCATTGCAGCTGCCCCATTTTGCTGTCCCCCTCTCAGCGCTGGGGACTCAGCCTCTGGCTCTGGCACCACAGCTTCCTAGCAATGAGTGAAAGATGGAAGAGTTAGCTGGGCGTGGTGGCTCACGTCTGTAATCCCAGCACTCGGGAGGCTGAGGTGGGAGGATCGTTGCAAGTTTGAGACCAGCCTGAGCTACAAAGTGAGCTCCAGGCCAGCCTGAACTGCACAGCGAGACTCCGTCTCAAAAAGACAAAAAAAAAAGATGGAAGAGTTCCGCCTCAGCCATCTGCTTAGACTTTCTTGAGATGTGGATCAAACCGAATTAGATTAGAGCCAGATGTAGTGACACAGGCTTGTCAATCCAGCAGAGCCTGGGCAGAGTCTGAGGCAGGAGAATCTTTAGTTTGATGCCATCTTGGACTATTATATAAGGAGTTCAAGGCCAGTCTGTATTATACAGTGAGACTTTGTCTCAAAAAAGTTGGGGGAAGGGAGATATAGTTTAGAAATTTGTATGTATGTATATATGTATGTATTTTGCGACGGAGTCTTGCCTATGTAGCTCAGACTAGCCTTGAACTTGTGGCAGTCCTGCCTCAGCCTCCTGAGTGCTGGGATTATGGACATGTGCCCCCATGCCAGCTAGAAATCATTTTTAAAGACAGAGAATCAAGGAAAAAAAAGTCAGTGAAAAGTATAAAACAATTTAAAATTTCCTATTTCATTATGTGTGATTTCTGAGGGTATAGTGAATATTTGTGAGTGGAAGCCTATTTAATATTAGGTGGCACTGTATTTCTTTCCATGTCTGTTTTCTGTAGTTTCTTTGAAATTGAGGCTGCAGCTCTCTTACCGCAAAGTGTCAACATTCAGATAATTTTAATTTATTCCTTCTCTTGACCGAGATCACCTGGTTTATGAGGCTAAGCACGCTGCTTTTGATGCCTCGTCTAGTTTTGCCACTTGGGCTTCTTTGTGTAGAGGTCTTAGAGAGCCTGCGAGGTGGGCCAGGTTAAGCCGAATGAAAAGGTTTCCTCCTGGAACTAGGCTGCATCACAGAGGTAATTATAGTAGTGGCATTAGATGAGTTAACTGTAGTAGCATTTCTCTTTCGCTGGACTTGAATAAGTAGTGTCCTAGTTCAGAAGAGATCTTAAAATAGGGGTGTGCTAACCTGAACTGCACCTACAGATGGCTGGGGGGTCGCTGAAGACATGCTTTGGTGCACTGACACTCTGAATTTCCTTTCCCCTTATCCTTCATTTTATGTAGTGCTTGATGCTTGACTCCTCTCTGGTTTGGACTCGGGCCTTCACATTGAACTGCATCCTTAGTCTGAGTTCTGTTTTTTCATTTTCTGTTTTTGAGACAAGCTTATATGCTCAGTCACCAAATTGCCCAGGGTTGAGCTTAAGATCCTCCTATCTCAGCCTCTCAGAGTGCTGGGAATACAGGTGTGCACCACAACCCCCAGCTTCAGCTGTTGGTGTCACATGAAAATGGAGAGGCCAGTGATGTGGGTATAATCATCTAATCAAAGCTGCTCTTTGTGAGACCTTGGTGTATTTTAAATGTTTCTTGTTGGACTGGTTTTCTAGTTAATACCAATTAGTATGCCTTGGTAGTTTTTGTTTGTGTGTTTGTTTTGGATTTTTTGAGACAGAGTCTGACTTTGCTGACCTAGAACTCTCTTCTATCCTGCCTCAGCCTCTAGGGTGCTGGGATTATAACCATGCACCACCATGCCTGATTTATAGTAAGGTCTTAATAACGTCCATGCTTTTTTGGAAGGGTTGCTTTAGGACCAGTCTAAGACTGGTAACCACCAGTTACCAATACTTTGGAATTCACAAAAATGGTGTTGCTTTGGTCACATTGGTCTTTATGTGCCATTACTTAATGGCGTTAAGATTGTTTTCACAGCAGTTATTGTTGTGTTTCATGTATGCATTGTATTTTAGTTTCCATTTAGAAATAAAAAAGAGGACTGGAGGAGAGGGGTAAGAGGACAGAGGATATTTGTTAGTACATCTTTACCCTTCCTTATAGGAGAAGGATGCAGATTTAATTAATGTAGCTGTGCTGAAATTTCACTTAATTTTATTTTATTTTAATTTTTGTGTACTTGCTGGAATTACTCTCACATGTAATGAAATCATTGTGAGTTTGCTTAGTTAGAAATAACTTTTTTTTTTTTTTTTTTTTTTTTTTTTTTTTTTTTTTGAGACAGGGTCTCATTATGGTGGTGCAGGCTGGCCGCATGTGCATTCACTTTGTAGCCCAGGCTGGTCTCGAACTTGCAATGATCCTCCAGCCTCAGCCTCCTGAGTGCTGGGATTACAAGTGCACACCACCACATCTGGCTGGAAATAACATTTTTATAGTTCTTCTCCTGGCCTTTTTAATGTGATATTGATCAACCTGAAGACAAAAAAGCTGATTATAGTAGTTGGTGCCTGGTAACAGTTGCTGACTGGATAGACTATTTGAAATTTATTTTTTGCTTTTATTTTTGTTTTACCTCATAGCAATCCTCTTGCCTCAGCTTCCTGAGTGCTGGAATTACAGGCATGCATTGCCATACCCAACTTGAGTTTTTAAAAATATGAGCTATGAGTTTGCATGTGTGTGTGTGTGTGTGTGTGTGTGTGTGTGTATGTGTGTGTGTGTGTGTGTATATATATATATATATATATATATATATATATATATATATAGGCTATAACCTGGACATGGTGCACACTTGCAATCCCATACTCAGGAAACTAGGGCAAAAGGATTCCAAGTAAGAGGCCACCTAGGCAACTTAGCAGACTATGTCTCAAAATGAAAAATAAAAAGGCTGGTGATGTAGCTCCAAAGTAGATTTGCTTTCCCAGTGTGCATCAGGCCCTAGGTTTCTGAGCATGCATAAGGCCCAATCCCCAATACTGCCCACTCCCCAAAAAAGAAGGAGGAGGAAGAAAAAAAGGAAATGGAAGTATGGGCTGTGGCTAACCGTTGGAGTAGTTTGGGCACGGTGGTGCACACCTGTAACTCCAGCACTCAGGAGGCTGAAGTAAGAGGATCATAGTGAGTTCAAGGCCAACCTGAACTACAGAGCAAAACCCTTTCTCAAAAAACCTAAAAAATAAAAAAGTAAACACTTAAGAAAAAAGTGTCAGAGTGGCCTCAGAATTAAGCAGGCGTTACTCATTTATTGTTCTCTTTCTAGGTGCATGCTATTATGATGCTAATCAGTCTATGTATGTGTTTGGAGGTTGTACCCAGAGCAGCTGCAATGCTGCCTTCAATGACCTCTGGAGACTTGACCTCAATAGCAAAGAGTGGATTCGACCTTTGGCTTCAGGTAAGAGATGAGAAGCTGATTTTTATCTCTTTGCCAGGTGACTCTGTTAGTATGGAAACTATCTGACTCTTTTTGGTTTTGATTTCAAGCATAGGTCTGTTGACAGATCCGTATAAATGCTAAGAGTTATATGCTTATCTAAATCTTCAATTTTTAAAAACTTACATTTTAGATTAGTATTGGTGTCCTGCCAAAATTGCTGTACTACTGTGTGAATTTATTGGCAGTGTTTTCCAAGTACTTGTACAGAGGTGCTGTGCTGTGCTGTGCTGCGCCGTTTGGTGGGAGGTTGAAGTAAGAGCAAAGCCAGAGTCGTGAGAACACTTGAGTGACAGATGCTATTGTCCCGGTGCTGAGGGCTCTGCGTAACTTTTGTTCTTGCCAGCTCAGATATTTGGGAGTGTATGGGACAAGCCTCTGCTGGTTACTCTTAACCGCTTAACAGTGTGGGAAGATTTCGCAGTAGGTACATTCCCGCCGCATGGTCCCTCTCAGCCGGAACTCTGGCAGGAAAAATCCTGTATTTCTTCTTTTTGATTCAGAAGATGCTTGTTTTTGCACTCAGGAGACAGGACAGTTTGAAGTATCAATTACAAGCCCAGAGGGCTGGTGTGATAGAGAACTAGGGTCCTTTGAATATAAAGCATGCTGGTAAATGTGCTGGCAAACTTTTCCTAAAGCACTCTGTGTTTGACTTTCCAGGGTTGGAACTGTCTGAGGACTGAGAAGACTTGGGTTTCCCTTGGCGATTTCCTTATTTGTTTAAGTCTTACTTTACTGCTTTGATTACTAGGTAGAGACAACATGGGCTTTTAGAAAGGGCACTGTACTGGGAGTGGACATGAGCTTCGCTTCCTAGAATAAACACCAGTCCTCTGTGTGACCATGAGCAAGGTACTGCACCTTTCAGAGAAATGTGGATTAAATGAATGTTTTTAAGTGGCCTGGGAAAGCTGGTGTATGCTTCCCTGTGTTTATGTAAGCGCTGCAGTGAATATGTTGGCGAGGAGTTTAACCTTAGCTGGGAGAAGCAGCAGCATTTTTCTCCCCAGAACTGAGAACAACTGTTCTGCTCCCTGCAATGGGCAAATAGAGAGCGATTCAGACAAAATTCATGGGCTAGACTAGGTTTGGGGCAGAAATTATTGAGGTAGGACTGGGGAGTTAGCTCAGTGGCTTCAGCACCAGCCTGGCAAGCATGAGGTTATGAGTTTGATCCCTGGTATCACCAAAAAAAAAAGAGAGAAGTTATTGAGGTGGAGCCAGGCATGGTGGCACATGCCTGTAATTCCAGCACTTGGGAGACTAAGGCAGGAGGATTCCCATCAGTTCTCAAACTCAAAAAACCCAACTAACCAGCCAAATAATAAAATAAAAATAAATAAAATAATCGAGGGCTGGGGCTACCACTCAGTAGTAGAGTGCTTGCCTACCATAGTGCAAAGCTTAGGTTCAACCGTGAACACTGCAAAAAACTAAATAAATTATAAAAAAAAATTTTTTTTTTTTTTGGTCTTTTTGAGGCAGGGTCTCGCTATGCAGTTCAGGCTGGCCTTGAGCTCACTTGGTCTTTTTGAGGCAGGGTCTCCCTATGCAGTTCAGGCTGGCCTTGAGCTCACTTTACAAAGTGAGCCCAATACTAGCCCAGGCTGGTATCGAACTCACAACGATTCTCCTGCCTCAGCCGCCTGGGTGCTAGGATTATAGGCGTGAGCCACCACGCCCAGCTCATAAATTGTAAAATTATTGAAAAGATTGGCAAATGATGATTTTTCAGAAACTTTGGAGGATAGTACTATAGTATTTTAGGGCCCTCAGAATTTTGTACTTTGGGGTTGGGGATTTAGCTCAGTGGTATAAGCACCTGCCTGGCAAGTGCAAGGTCGTGAGTTCAGTCTCCAGTACCACACACACACACACACACACACACACACACACACAAAAGAATTTTGTACTTTGAAGGTCTCTTTTTCTAGCCCTTTGTCCTCTATTGCACTTAGTGAAATATTATTAAATATTTGGAATTACAGGTCCTGAAATATGCAAGGTCTTTTCAGCTTAAGCATCCTGTTGTCACTGTGCTTAATATTTTATGAAACCCCCATTTCAATGCAGCTTTGATTGGTCCAATTACAGAATTCTGATACTGCCTTTATTTTGTAACCAAGCTTTATGTCTTTGATAATTGGTTGTAGCAGTTATTCTTTCTTGTGGAATTGGAGCTTGTTCTAGGCTTTGAGACCTCCATAGTCTGTTACAAACTGCATCAGTTATTTCTTCCAAAAAATTGGACATTGGATTTTTTTGAGGTTCTATATATTGAACCTAAGGCCCCATGTGTATTAGGCAAGTGCTTTACCACTGAGTTATATCCCCAGCTTGGGACTCAGTTTTTAACTGCTGAGTATACAGACTGTGTTGTTTTTGTTTTTGTTTTGCTTGGTGTTTGTTTTTATATTTTTGTTTTTTTGGTAGTGCTAGAGATAGAACCCAGGGCCTTAGGCAAGAACTTTACCACTGAGCTACGTCCCAGCACCCAGACTGTTTTTAAAATCCCTAAGACAGAAGTGTTGGAGGAGTAACTGGTTTGCAATTCATATTCTACGTATGTTCTGAATTTTTAAAAAATATTACATTTAGAATATTTTCTTTTTTTAATTAAAATTTTTATTAGCAGGTAAAACATAATCTCATGTAATTCAGGCTGGTCTTGAATTCACTCTGTATCACAGGCTAGCCTTAAGCTCATGGTGATCCTCCTGCCTCAGCCTCCCTGGTGCTGAAATTATAGTTGTGCATCACTACATATGGTTGAAGAATGTTCCTTTTTAAAATGTAATAAGCTCTTGAATGTTTAAGTCAGTTTGTAACATGTTTCAAAGAAAACAGTTGCTACCTTACCCTAATCTGCAGTTAGAATCTAGTTTTGGGGGGGTTGTTTTGTGTGTGTGTGTGTGTGTGTGTGTGTGTGTGCGTGTGTGTGTGTGTACTGAGAATCAAACTCTGGGCCTCATGCATGCAAGGTAAGAACTCTACCACTGAGCCACATCCCTAGCCCACAACCTAGTTTTAAAGCTAGAAAAAGAAGATTTTTGAAATGCCTAAGAACAAAAAACAGTGGTTTAATAAAGAGTCCTCCTGTGAGATCATTTTGGCAGAAATCCTGTGGGAAGATTCCCTGAGGGAATATTTCTGTGAGCTGTCATGCATTCCAACCAGAGTCACTTCCTAACAGGAACGTCAGGGAGTTTTTCTGAACAAAACACGCTTGTCTGTGTGTCTTTGTGTCCGTGACTCACCCATCTTAATGCATGCAGGTAGGGAGGTTGGAGGGTGGCCAAGGGGTGGGTGGTACCTTTCCATCTGGTGCCAGGCGTGAGGTGGTCTCACCTTGTGCAAGTGGTCCTCCTGTCAGTCTTCAGAAGTGTAGCTGTGCGGAAGTAAGAGCATCGGTGAAGCAGCGGAGCACCTTGGTTGGGAGCAGAGTCTTTTTTTTTTTTTTTTTTTTGGTATTAGAAATCAAACGCACAACCTTGTAATTACCAGTCAGTTGCTGTGCCACTGAGATATATCCATAGGAGCAAAGTCTTAAGAGAATTCTGTGTATTATGTCCCTGTATTGGAGGTTCACGACAGGCCTTTAGGTCGTGTCTTGCTGCTGGGCAGCTCTGAACCACCAGTGGTGCATGCTTGACTGTCCTACTGGGTGGCGTGAGTTGGTCCCATCGGGTAGTATCGGCCACCCAACAGGACAGTTGTGCATGTAGTACCACTGGTTCAAGCAGGCAGGAGCATGTTAAAATGTGTGTTTGGTTATATCATAAAGGAACCTGGAGCATTCTTACCTTGGTTGGTGTTTTCTTATACCCAACTTTCACAGCTCTAAGGGGAAGCTGATTTTGGCTCATGGCTTGCAGCAGTTTTAGCCATAGTCAGGTGGCTCCAAGGTGGGGTGGCGTGGTAGAGGAGAAAGAGCTCATGGCACGGCAGGGAGGCAGAGAGGTGGGGCGGAGGGAGAAGTTGTGATCCCTAGTAAGCAGTTCAGTAGTGGTATCCAGTGGTCAGTTTTTTTGAGAGTTTGGCAAATAAACTAGAAGGGTTCTCAGCCTTGAATTGACAACACAGTCCTTCCTCTGTTTAGTTAGACCCCTCAGCCTTCATTTGTTAATGCAGTAAACACTTGAATGCCTACTATGTTCCTGGTATTGTTCTTAATGCTGGAGACTCAAAAACAGACAGAAATCCCAATCCTATGGAGATTATAGGCAAATGAGGAAGACAGATACTAAAACTGACTAATATGTAATACAGGATAGTAGCCGATGATTTGTGCTTTTGAAGAAAAGCTGTGACATTGCTGGGGGAGGGTTATGATCAGGGGGGATCAGCTGTGTGTGGTGGTGCATACCTGTAATCCTACTCTTAGAAGGCTGAGGCAGGAAGATTGCCACAAGTTGGAGACCAGCTTGGGCTACATAGTGAGTTCAAGGCCAGACACAATTGCATAACAAGACTGTCTCGAGAGAGAATATATGTATATACCCACACACATACATACACACACACACACACACACACACACACACACACTTCAGTTTGCTGTATTAATAAATGTCTGGAAGCTAATAGCCATGACTTTGAGCACCTCTTGTAATTGTAGAGGCCAAAGATAACTTATGTTAATCTCATGATGTCTCAATAAATTTAATTTTAAAGTATTTGTATAAATTGGGGCTGGGGATTTAGCTCAGCGGCATAAGCACCTGCCTTGCAAGCAGGCAGTCGTGAGTTCAATCCCTGGTACCGATAAAAGACCAAAAAAAAAAAAAAAAAAAAGTTAAAGTATTTGTATAAATTTTTGTTTTCCTGACACATGCATTTTTGGCTGCGTCTATAGCTGAACTGTAGATCACGTGCCTAGCATGTTTAAGGACCTGAGTCAACCACTAATACCACCAAAAACAAACAAATGAAAAGGTGCCATTTATTTATTTAGAAGA